GTCCCAAGCCCGGATAAAGGAGGAGGGTTGGGTGGTGGGGTGCAGATACTGCCACCTGTAAAAGAAACAAGACGAATGAAATCCAATACACAATGACAACCAAACAAACAGGAACACACCGGCTCGGACGTCGCCCGGTTATACAAGGTCCGCGTCCTCAGCTGGGAAACCGGGGCTGGGTTGAAAAGTTAGCTACTGGAGTAGAAGGAAAAGGAGAAGGAGAAAAGAAACTCAAAGCAGCAACAGACTTTCTGAAGATAGGTACATGGAATGTACGAGCTCTCAGAAGTACTGGCAAACTGGAGCTATTACGTAAGGAAATGACACCATATGAGTGCGATATATTGGGACTGTCAGAGATGCGCTGGACAGGTGTGGGAGAGCTGAATGGAGGAGAAGTGATTTGGTCTGGAGAAGAGAAAAATCACATGAGGGGAGTTGGTTTCTTGCTTAGCAAGCTAGCGAAAGATGCACTACTCGGGTATAACCCTGTAAACTCTCTTAACATAGTGGCCAGGTTCAACGGAGCACCTTTGAACATTGCAGTGATTCAGGTTTATGCACCAACTTCAGAAAATCAAATGTACCTTTTTTATATTCTTTTATTCCATGGCTCCATAAACTGCCACTTGAAAACCGTAATTTTCTGCCTCCAGATAGGCTCTGCCCACAAAAACCGTTACCCCTGTTTCGGATCTGTAAGACTATCCCACTCTCTAACGTCAATTTCGTTGAATAACAGTGCTTATCGCTGGGTGACAAGCTCTTGTAATATGCGGAGAACATTTTGAAAATGACATCTAATCAATATAATTTATAATCTTTTTAAACCTAACTATTTTGTACCCTATCCGTGTAATTCTCTAGCTGTAAAGGCTATCTTTTTTCCTGGGTTTTCTGCAACCATGATGCGCGCGCATCCTGAATGTTTACAAACCTATAATTGGTCTATAGGACTGCGCATGCGCACTGGCTGATCTGGCCTGAAAAAGAAGCTTTTTTAATGCTATTTGAGCAAAATAAACAATATTTACGAGACAGTTGTTGTCAGATTTCATTGGTGATTTCAAATATGAAATTTAATCGTAAGCTTTAGTGAACAGTTTTGGAGAATTTGATGTTTCCCCATTCAAAGAGATAGGAGCTGCACTTGCATTCCCGAGAGGCGTTTCAAAGATGGCTGCTGAGTGACATGACTTGCCTTAAAGGGACTTTGATACTAGTCAAGTTGTCAATCTGAAAACGCTATTACACACGTTATTAGTGTCAAGCATGTAGTTCCTTGCAAATGTGTTCCTGCCACAATCTCAAAATCACTGTAATGAAAAGTAGTCCAGGTGATATGTGAAAATAATGTTCACTTTTTCATAAAAGCATGAAACTTGGTACACTTGTATAGTTTGCGGCCCTAAACATTTTCAGAAATGGAGCCATCGCAAAAACACCTTTTTTTTTACCATTTTACTTTTCGCCATAACCAAATTATGTATTTTGTGTCATAGCTCCTAAACCAAACATGATAACACAGAAACGGTGATGTCTACCCCTATGTTTTGATGGTCAAGGATTACAATTATACCATATACAGCAACATAAACTGTTCAGGTGAAGAGTTAATGGTGAAATGAGCTATGTGAAGGAAATCACAGTATCTGAGTATCACAGTATTAATAGTACATATTATGGCTATTAATTTTTTCTCTTTGATAATTAACTAATATTTATTTAATAATACATTAAAAGATTGTTTTCAAGAATACTATCATATATTTCAGAGATATTAAAAAAATATAAAAAATCTCAGGTAGGTGTATTTTTCCTTACCTCTCAGGCAGAGTATAAAAAATCTCAGGTAGGTGTATTTTTCCTTACCTCTCAGGCAGAGTCGGGTAGGCGGTAGTGTGTTTCCAATACATTCTTGTTCTCGCTCAACAATGCTCAAACATCACATGCAGACGGCAACACAATCAGGTGAACAGTTAATGGTTAATTCAGTGACTTTATGAGGAGGATTACAATGAAATCTCAGAAGATGCAGAATGAAATTTTAAACATATTTTATGTAAACTTAATTTACAATCACTCTCTGAGGCCAGAGTTGTCTATCATGTTGTCCACTGGAGGGAAGCCAGAGTCCTGCATGCGGGCAGGTACATGCAGGTGAATCGCTAATATTTGATGTAATGGGTGGAATAATATTTACGTGTAGGGTGTGGTGTGGGCCGGATGGTGACAAGCACGGGCGGGTTGCGAGTCCAATAACCAAGACTATTTAGACTCTGTCCAGTACACGTTGAGCAATGTAGCCAATCGCGCTGCCACTGATTGACAGCTGTAGTGATTATATTATTAAAGGGAGCACTCTTTGCTTGCTTTCTGTATTTAATCTATTCACAATTTAAATAAAAGTTTTAATAAATGAGTTTTGTCTATCTCATGTAGGAGATTTAATGCAGGTGCGGTTCGGGTCCCAGTTTTTATGTCAAATCGGTTGGGTATTGGATTAAATTAGTGTTGCTGTCAGATAACGTGTCGGGTGTTCTGTTAATGACTGTGATTGTGGGAAGATCATTTCACCAGACAGGAGATAGGATAGGTGAACGAAAATGCCTCTCTGTGATGTTACCATGTGGCATCACTTACTTACAGATCTCAGGCTTCTGGAGGGGATGTAGATTCGTAAGAGTGAGGAGGAAGTAAGAGGGTGTTGAGCCTGTGGCTGTTCTGCACGCAAACATCAAAGTTTTGAACTTGATGCGAGCCGCAACAGCTAAAGAGAGATGTGAAGTGGGCTCTTTTGGGCTCATGGAAGACCAGTCGTACCGCTGCATTCTGAATCATTTGTCGAGGTTTGATTGCCAATGATGGAAGTTCAGCCAGAAGAGCATTGCAATAGTCCAGCCTACAAATGACAAGGGCCTGGGCAAGAAGATGTGCAGCATGCTCTGTTTGGAAGGGCCTGATCCTCATGATGTTGTGCAATGCAAACCTGCATGATCTAGCTTTCTTTACAATGTGGTCCTTGAAGGTCAGCTGGTCACCAAAGAATAATTCTTGATTAACCTAGGATGATGAAATCATGTAGAGTCGGAGTGGCAGGGAAAACGAGAAGCTCAGTCTTTGCCAGGTTGAGCTGCGGGTGATTTTCCTTCATCCATGCCGAGATGTTCGCCAGGCAGCCTGAGATCCATGCAGCTGCTATTGGATTGTCTGGTTAAAATGAATGATAGAGCTGTGTGTCATCAGCACAGCAATGGTAGGAGAAACCATGTGCCACATGTGCCATGTGTCGTGAATTGTGCTATATCTTAAAAGTTATAAACATTTGTTTTTTCAGATGAGGAGATCCCGCTTGTGGCAGATGGAGGCATTGTAGCCTCTAAATTTACAAAAGAAGTTAAATATAAAACAAAGGCTCTTGGATGCTTCGGCTTCTGGTGTAATGGTCTCACACGAGTCACGAGAGCAGTCCTGACGTTGGGGGTTGGGAGTTGCAGTGCTGGGGGAGGGGGGCGGATCACATGACCTGAATGCGTCAGCACTGAGAGCCAATCCTACTGGCTAGAGGGCCGCCCTGATCAGCTGGCTTGCCTGTTTCTTGGCAGAAAAACATATATTACACCAAACATACAGTTTAAAGGATCAGAAATGAGTGTGAATACTGACATCTGTATGTTGCAGCACATCAAATGTGCTTGTATTGTCCTGGTAAATGACTAAATCATGGTTTAACCACTCACCACCTTCGAGAAGACTTTCCCGGAGACACTGCTATAAATAGCAGACGTCTAGACCACTTGTTCGTGCTTGCTTCGGCAGCACATATACTAAAATTGGAACGATACAGAGAAGATTAGCATGGCCCCTGCGCAAGGATGACACGCAAATTCGTGAAGCGTTCCTCATTTTTGAACGATTTTTAATCGTTAAACGTAATTAAGATTAAGCTGGATTTAAAAAAGTATTTTTGACGTACATAGAAAGTGCCTAAAACATGCACGTATATCAAACTTTGTGAATTGACAGTGTGGAGGCATTTTATTCACCCTTTATTTATGATGTAGCAGCATCCCAGTATAACACAGTCCAGGGGCCCCAGTTTACCCCCCTCTCGCAGTGTGAACTTTGCTGACTGTCTCTGTAAATACAAGAACACTGTAAAAATTGTCAACAGAAAAGCAAAATAAAACCCTTCAATTTAAGCACAACTACATAAAGTAAAAGTTCAGTTTTTGGCCACTGCAATGTGATGATTTGACACCAAGGAGCACTAAATAGAGACATATACCTAACTGTCTTGTACTATTTCTTTAGGTAGTGCCGAAAACAGAGCCGGCGGTTCATGTGAGAGGACAGGAGCCCCTTACTGCCTCAATGCTGGCAGCTGCACCCTTAAAAGAGCAGAAACAACTCCTGGGTACGAAACATGCACACGCGATCACTTAAAGGTTTAAAGATGTGAGCTTGAATCATTTTATATCACCTGCATCCTAAACTTGAATGAACAATACTGCTCAGTAGAGGGCGCTACTAGAATAGTACTGTTAACTGTTAATAAACGACTTTTCACTGTAGTACTGTTATATTTATCCAGTGGGAACAAATTAATTCTTTGTGAATTCCCCTTTACAGTGAAGTACTGAAAAAAACTACAGTGTCAACTTTACAGTGTCTATTTAGTGTAAAGTAGCAGGTAGTTATCATATGGCTTCAGAAGACTTGGAATATAGCACACAATCTATGTCCTACTTCGTAACATGAGTAAAATGACCAAACTGTTTGCATCCCATACAGGTGAGCGGCTGTATCCACTTATCCAGGCCTTGCATCCTACTCTTGTGGGAAAGATCACAGGCATGCTGCTGGAGATTGACAACTCTGAACTACTGCACATGCTCGAGTCTCCAGAGTCCATGCACTCCAAGGTTCACCTGCTCAAAACGTGTACTCGACATTTAGTCTCAAAGATCAGGTTTTGTTTGATCGTTGCACTTTTCTGCACTGTTTAGGTTGAAGAGGCTGTAGCGGTGCTTCAGGCTCATCAAGCCAAGGAACTGTCGGCAAAGTGAGGGAGCTTTGTAAGGCGGGTAATCTACCAGCATTTTTTTGTCGCAATATTTGGTCTTAATCGTGCAAGGCCAATTAGTAGCGTATACGAGTGTCGCACAGAAATGTTGACCGATTTTATTTCAATTTTACAGGCATGCTCACTGAAGGTCTGTGAGGGTTGTTCCAGAGAACGAGGAAAAGAAAACAGCACTTCAGAGTCATGCTATTTAATGCATGGTTTGCACACTTCAAATGTCCTTTTGCTCTCCACAGTGTTAAGTTTGTTCTGGCTTTGTTTATTAAAAAAAAAATAAAAAATTATAGAAAAAAGTAAAATGACAAAAAAGGCTAAAAAATATTTAATTTCTGTGTTTAATAAATTATTCTGGCTTAATGGACATGCAAACAAGTTTCTGAGTGTCTTATTCTTAGTTATTTTGACACATTTGCAAGAACTTTACATAGCTTTTTATTAAAATAAGCTTTAAGTTAATGAACGTGTGTAAAAGATTTGTCCGCTTTGCAGAGGGTAAGGTACAACCTGAAATGTATAATCTAACAAACAAAGCTTTTAATTGAATAACAAAAGGTTTTTATATTTCACGTTTGTGCTAAATGCTGGAAAGAATAT